TGAAACCTATTTTCTATTTACCTCCAACATGCATTGATATCCAGATTTCAAATCAATCTTTGTAAATAGACATGAAACATAAAATTCATCAAACATATCGCTAGCCTAAGAATAAGATGTCGATACTTTACCGTGATTTTGTTGATGACTCTATTATCCACGCACATGTGTCAAGTTTCATCTTTCTTTGGCACTAATAAGACTGATACAGAACATGAACTCAAGCTTTCTCATAAATAGCCCTTCACTATGAGCTCCTCTACTTGCCTTTGAATTTCTTTAGTCTCAGTTGGATTGACTCTATAGGTTGACTTATTAGGAATGACAACTCCCAGAATGAAGTCTATTTTGTGTTCAATACCTCTAGTGAGAGGTAGGTACTTCATCTTAAAACACGTCTTCAAATTTCTGTGAAAGAGATTGAAACACACTAGGCAAAGATAAGTTGTTATCGTTCGAGAACAAACATCCTTCCTTGTGTATAAGTACAAACATGGTATTTTGTGAAAACATTAAGCTCCACACCTCTCCAACTAACCAAACAACTCACTTTCTTTCCTTTTTTTTCAATTTCATCTCTTTCTTCATTTTTCTTTCCCACTTTTTTTTAACTCTTTGATTTTTCTCTAATTTTTCACTTAATTCTGGTTTTTCTTTCCATTTTTTTTCCTAAAACTCTTTTTTTTTTTCTCCAACTTTGATCAACAAATACATTTTCCGAACTCAAAAGTATAAGAGTGATTTCTACCCTATTTTATAAAAGAATACCTATCCAAATAATCATCATACATGATCTTCCTATCAAATTGTCAAGGTCTGCCAAGCAATATGTCTCCAGCAAGCATGGGTAACACATCACAAAGAACTTCATTTCTATATTTTCCCAAAATAAAAGATATTAAAGCTTGGGAAACTACTTTCATTGTTCAACTCTCATTGAGTCATTGAAGCTGGTAAGGTTTAGGATGTTGTTGGGTTGGAATTTGCAAACTTTTAATCAACATGGTACTTACTACATTAGTGCAACTTCCACTATCAACGACAAGACTACAAGGAGTGCCCTTGACTAAACACCGTGTGTGAAATAGGTTGTCTCTTTGATCATCGACATCATTCTCAATAACTTGAGTTTTAAGAAGTCTTCTTGTAATAAATGTCAAATGACTCCTATCTTCTAATTCATCATTCTCCTAGATTTCTTATTTAACTAGCTCATTAATCTCCCCTCTCTTTCCCTCATTTTGGTTTATGATTTGTACAAACAGTAGTTAAATATGCTTAGGGTCTCACACACTCAACTCACTGATTTTACACTCAGGAACACTCGTGTTTATTACACACAAAGGTAGGCTATTTGAGAAAGTAACTAAATTATGATCAAGGTAGGCTAATATATGGATAAATCAATTCTTATAGTAGCGAGCTATTCAAGACAATCAAGACAAGTTAATTATTAAGTAACAACAAAATAAAACAAAGAAATGATCAAAAGAATAAGGGACGCAAAGATATGTTTTGGTAGAACCGCACACTGAAAATGAATTCAAAATGAAAGGTCGTTAAGATTTTGACTAAATTCCCTTCTTAATTATAAGATATAAGAGAATGATCTAACTTTCCTTTTTACGGAATTCGGAATTATTTAAAAGTTATCTTCGAGTTTGAATCATGAAACAAAAATATCAAACACAAGGGTTATCGATTTAGACGGTTTAAGCAAAATGTGAATTGAAGTTTATTTGATCTTCAATAGTAAGAAGCAAAATTCTAGATGTTTTTTTTCAAAATTTAAATATGATCTTTACCAAGAAAATGACAAACAAGTAAAAAAATGAGGAAGACGTTATGTAATAGAGTTTGGGAAGAGTTCACTGAAGATTGTGAAGGGTGTTATGGTGGTAGCACGTGGCACAAAATCTGAAATCTTATACACCACTGCAGGGTGTATAAGTATGACTATTTTTGCTGAGAGTGCTTCAAATTCAAGTCTATGACACAATAGACTTGGACATATGAGCGTCAAAGGAATGAAGATGTTGACTACGAAAGGAGTTTTAGAAAGACAAGGACAACTAAGAGTTTCTAACGAGGAAATCATTTCTGAAATATGTTGATATAGGCCCTTGTGAGAGCAACATTATGGGCAAATAGAAACGAGTAAGCTTCACAAAGGCTATCAGAGACTTGGAAAAAGTGCGGTTGTAAATGTTCCACACAAATGTTTGGAGATCATCTCCAATTCTATCACTTGGTGGATCAAAGTTCTACATCATTTTCATCGATGATTTTAGTAGAAAGGTATGAACTTATTTCCTGAAACATAAGTTAGATGTGTTTGCCACTTTCAAGAAGTGGAAAGCTGAAGTTGAAAACCAGACCGACTTGAAGGTCAAATGGCTGAGGTCTGACAATGGAGGAGAGTATAAAAAGTCAGAATTCAAAGCATTTGTGCAGTTGAGAGAATTAGATTAACGAGAATAGTTCCTGGTAGAGCAAGACAAAATGGTGTTGTTGAAAGGATGAAAATAACATTGAATGAGGGATCAATGAGTATAAGGATTCGTTGCTGAAAGGATGAAAATAACATTGAATGAGGGAGCAAGGAGTATAAGGATTCGTTGCTGAAAGGATGAAAATAACATTGAATGAGGGAACAAGGAGTATAAGGATTCATCATAGATTGCCAAATAAATTATGGGTCAATGCTGTAAATACAGCAACCTACTTGATAAATAGAGGTTTGTCAGTACCTTTCGGGTTCAAGCGGCCAAAAGACGTATGGACAGAAAAGAGCTCAAGTACTTTCACTTGAGAATTTTTTAGTTGCACTGCATATGTTCGTATTGATTTAAAGAAGAGTGACAAGCGACGTTGAAGCTGTGAAGTGTTATCGTTATGACATGTTTGGATATAAATTTTGGGATGATAAGAACAAAAAAATCTTAAGACATTGTGACATGACTTTTGATGAAAATGTCTTGTACAAGGATTAAGAAAAGAAAAATCCAGGACAATGAAACAAGTAGAAATTGAGGTTGAGTTGCAAAAAAAATTTACCAAGTGATATAACTACTTTAGAAATCTATGAGACATTTGTTAAAGAATCAAATGTGGAGAAAGTGACACCTCAGCCAGTAGGATTAGTATGAGAACACTTTGACATAAAGTTAGTAAAAAATTAAAATATTTTTTTTTAGCAAACTTTTTATCAATTTGAAGGTTACAATTAATAAAAATGCATAAAATAATTCAATTTTAAACAATAAACTATTAAAAACAAAATTAACCAAACACTAATAATTTCAAAATTGAGTGAGATAGGGTTAGAAAAAGTAACACTTTAATTTTACATGGTTCAATCAAATTTGACCTACTCCACCTTTTAAATGCCTTTTGAAAATTTGAATAAATTCTTTCCACGGATCAGAGCAAAAATATAACACACGCTCATTTTACGAGTTGAAGACCAAACTCAAACCTTTCAACTGCTCATGATCAAATTAGTATAAATGTTAAAAAAAATTTAAGAATATACCACAACTCTCCCAAAAATAAATTTACAATTTAAATACTCACAACAATATTATCACAAAACAATAAAAATTGCTCTCAGGAATAAGATAAATAAAAACAAAAATTGGGGATTTAAAATTGGAGAAGAATTGTGTCTTAAAAAAAACATTGTATAAATAGGAAGAGCAGTTGCAAATGATTTAATTTGATTTTTTTTTATTTTATTTTAGAAATGTAATAACCGACTGTCTAAATTTCTTTCCCTTTTTTATTTAAAAAATAGTAATGATGTTAATAATCGATGGTTTAAAGTATTTCCTTTTTGCTATTAAAATAATAATAATAATAATATTAGTCCAAGATCACAAGTTTAACTTTATTTATTCTAAAATATATTATTATATATATAATTGTTTTTATTTTAAAAACATCTAAAATAGTCACCAATTTGTTACTCTTCCAAAACTCAGCTGCCACGTTATTTCCTCAACTATTTTCTACTCTATTTTGTTTGGGCTATTAACTTCTTCATTTTAATTCGGATTTGAGTGATTTAAAAGACATCGTATCATCGTTTTAAGCCTTATACTATAAACACTTCAAAATATTGAAATTATTAGTAATTAAGAGTAGGTTTGTTATCTAAAAAATATCAATTAATTAATTCATTATACTGAATTAGTTTTAGAGATTAAAGGTCAAAAAAGGCAACATTGAGAAGATCTCCAAAACTATCCGACTATTAGAAAGGTATGTACCTTCATTATACTGTATGTTGCTGATTGACGAAGGAAAACCAGAGTTCTTTGATGATACTCTACAGTTGGAGGATACAACCAGGTGGGAGTAAGTCACGAATAATGGAATAGTTGGATGTTTAGGGTTAGAATTGTGTTGCTATTTCATATACAATGGTTGAGTACGTGGCAATAGATCAAACTAGAAAGTAGATTATATGAATGACAGACTATCTAGAAGAATTAAGCAAGAAGCACCGCGAGAAGATTTTTATGTAAATAATCAGAATGCCATATAGTTAACGAAGAACTCAATATATCACTCAAAGACAAACAATGTCGGAAGACGATATCATTCCACTTATAAGTTATTGAAAGAAGATATATGTGTTTGAAAAAGATAGAGGGTGCAAATAATCCATCCAACCTATGACAGAGGTTGGAAAATTTAGCTTCCTAACCCGGCAAACTAAACACACATTATATATACATAATTTTAAATTAAAAAATGTAATCGAAGTTATCTAAATATTTTTATTTATTTTAAATATTTATATATACCTATCAAAATTGATTTTATAGTATTTTTTACACTTTTAGATTTATTTCATTTTTAAATCACTTTTAATAATTTAAAAAATGGATTTCTATGAAACAAAAACGGGGATGGGTGGAGTGTTCCTCAAGCAATGAGAACGGCGTCGTTTAAGGAAACACAGGGTGGGGCAGTTTCGCCAATTTGACTTGAAGCCACCACAAAACCCTCGCTCCCGTGTCTGTCTCCTGTGATCTCCTCCTCAGCCACATTCTTCTCTTCATTTCCTTCCACTTTTCTCTGCCTGAAAAGCCTTCAAATCCGATCTTCCTTTTCAGTTTTAATCACCTTTCTTGTTAGCTATGATCGTCACCAAGCTTTTCTCACGCGCCTCCCGCGGCATTTGCCGGAGCTCGCTTCTCTCCTCGGCCTCGCAATCCAATCAAACCGCACACTTCTCGCCAATTCTATCCAATCGCTTTCACTGTCTTGCTAACGAATCCATCAATAAGGTACGCCTTAAACACCTTCCACTTACAAGGATTTGTTTTCTGCTATTAGGGTTTAGTTAGGGTTTTGGGTTTTTCTCGAAATTTCTTATGTAAGAGCGGCGTATGAATTTCAATTTCTTCCCCATTTTTTTATATGAGGTTTTGTAAGACTTTTGTCGCAATTTTTTGTTATTATATGCTTTTGAACCTCCCGTCAATTTTTGTTCTGTTTCTGGGTGTCTTGAATTCGTTATTATTTATGTCAATTTTACTCATGTTTCTTCAATTAGAGAGCCTTTTACCTTTGTTCTAAGTTTCCACCCCCCCTTATTATTCGGAAACCATTGCGGTTTATTGCTTAGTTTCTGGTTACTTGTTTGGTCTTCTTACATATCTCACCTTAGAGAACGTTATAAATTAAACGTTCATTCATTGGTCTAATGTGCCCAGGTCTATTCTTTTTCTGATCAGGAATCAGCGTTTCATAATTCATTTTTCCTTCATAAATTCGGATTATCAACGTTTGCATCCCCTGAGATTCCTGATAAGGAAAATGGTGATTCTGTACGAAGTAATGGCAGCTCTTCTGCTGCTGCAGAGCCGACGGCTGAATCTAATGGTCAGACCAAAGAATCAGGTTTCATATTTGGATGTTGATTTTCAATGCCTGCCTAAATTGACAAGTGGTAACAAACTCTGCTTTCTGATTCAGATTCTGAGAGTGATGACAATCTTACCATGGATGATCTGGTGAAAGTTGTGGCTGAGAAGGAAGAGCTTTTGAAATTAAAGCACAAAGAGATTGAACAAATGCAAGATAAAGTTGTTCGCACTTATGCCGAGATGGAGAATATAATGGCCAGGACAAGGCGTGAAGCTGAGAATTCGAAGAAGTTCGCTATTCAGGTATTATTTTTCATTTGGTCTACTTCTTATCCTTGGTATATATATGTTTTTTTCTTTTTCATGTTTCAATGACATGACAATACATTAATAATGTTCACTTGCAAGATTCTCTCCTGACATTATTTTTGTGTGATTTAGAATTTTGCAAAGGGTTTACTGGATGTCGCAGACAATCTAGGACGAGCTTCATCTGTTGTCAAGGAAAGTTTTTCAAAGATTGATTCAACTAATGACTCTGCTGGGGCAGTGCCCCTATTGAAAACCCTTCTTGAAGGTGTTGAAATGACTGAGAAGCAGCTGTCTGAGGTAAAGTTCTCATGTATAAAATGTTATTGTGGTTTGCAGTTAGAACTTTGATTATCAGCAAAACTTGTATGGCAAAATACTTAGTCAGTTGAAACCATCTTAACTAACATAACATTGTATATCGGCCATTGGCCATTTCCTTCTAATTTTGGCTCTTCATGACATCCTTGTGCTAATTAAGTTTAACTAAATTATATTACTCTCAGGTGTTGAAAAAGTTTGGAGTGGAAATATTTGACCCTACAAATGAGCCATTTGATCCACATAGGCACAATGCAGTTTTTCAAGTACCAGATGGTTCTAAGCCTCCCGGTACTGTTGCTGCTGTATTGAAGGTATGTCTCATAGTCATGATCGATGTTTTGTGTGTGGTTTGGACATTCTACCATTATTATATTTCAAATTCTTCATATTTATTAGAGTTGCAAATGGAGATTTTACGATGATTGAACTGTAGGCATTAGGCAAGACAAAAGTTTTATTCACTAAGGTAAATAGAAAAGAAAATTGGAACTTAGCAAACATTTTCTTTGACAAATTAGTTTTTCTGAAGTGCAATTTGCAGACTTAAGGTAAGAAGAAAGAGCTATGAACATCATTGGCAGTGAAGACTAACACTTCAAATCTTAAATAAAAGAAACTTTTGAGAAAAGGGAATTGAAGAACTTGTTCTTGAGATGCATAAAAGTTGGGATGTTCTTGAAATGTCTGGGTCTGGGAAAAAATTCTCTAGATACCAGGTTTGAGCCTCTAAATGGAATACTCATTAGATAAAACGCTTCTTTGATCAGAGTGCTATTAGGAAAGAATTGGGAATGCTATTGGGATATCAAGGGTATGTTGGTAATTAGTTCAGGAGTTAGGAGAGTTTGTCATAAATTGAGGGGACTTGGGAGGATGAAGATAGGGAATTATTTAGATAGTTAAGGGTTGAGTGAAAATGCCCAAGAGGAGGGTCCAAGTACCACGAAGTACTTGGTTATTTTGTTGTTCTTTCTTTTAATTTCAATGTCATTTGAGTTCCACCTGCGCTCTATCATTCTTCTAGAGTTATCTTCGAATTGGCTACGTTTTTTTTTTTTAACAAACACGATGACATAACATGAATCTGTACCTATTCATGGAAATAGAGGTTGTAGTAGAGCTTGCATGAAAACTATGATAATTGCAAAAGCATAACTGCAATTTTGTTGTTAATGTTCATAGAAAGGATACATGCTTCATGAGCGAGTACTTCGACCTGCTGAAGTCGGTGTTACTAGAGCTGTGGAGAATGAGGATGGAGCGTGAAGGGATTGGTTGGAAGGATGGATATCCAATTCAAATTGTTTCCTCTGAAAAGAGTTTTGGTATGCGGAATGTTCTTCGGTAGAGAAGATATCTAATCTAGACTTCCTGTTAGATGCAGAGGAAGAGGAAAACAATTCATTGCTTTGATAAACTTTGATTTTGTTGTGTATTTAGAGAGAGAAAGAGAGAGAGATATGTGAGGGTATTTCTGTGCTTTCCTCGTATCAGTTCAAATTCAGAACATGTATAATGAATACCATAAGCTTCATGTGTAAACATATTCTCGAGGCATTTTTCTTTTGGTTAGAAAGTTACCAAAGGGTGCTTCTTGACGAGGATGAACCAGAGAGATGTCCACATCTTAACAGCCAGGGGCAACCTATAAATGGTCTTTTGAAAACTAAAATAGAATTCTTTTAGAAAATAGGAAAACAGAAAAAGATGTCATTGGTGTATAAAACTTTATATTTTGCATGTACTTGAGGGTCGATTTAAATTTAAGTAGGCTTTATTTTTAGTATCATGTTGGTTTCGATAATTTCCTTAGTAACATATATGAGCTATCATTTAAATTAAAATTATGGAGATGGGGTTGGAGTCTTATAGTAAGAGATTGTAAGTACACCAGTGAGAGATATTATCTCCTTGATATGAGACCTTTTGGACATCGTTCAAGTATATGTCATTGATCAATTTAGACCATGTAACTACAACATCACATTTATGCTACAACTCTTTGTTCATGATCTAGTATTTGCAACTTGTCGTACCACTTTTGGACGTACATTTCTATGTCGCTTGAAACATATGAAGGTTTCAGACTATGCCGTTTGGAACATATGAAGACTTGTGCAAAGGTACTCAAACTATGTCGCTTGAAACATAAGAAGTTTTGGACGTACATTTCAAATTATATCGCTTAAATTGTAAGAAGCCTTAGGTGTAGGTTTCAAATTGTATCGCAAGGAACACATGAAGCCCTGGATGTAGGTTCAGATTACGTCACTTAGAACGCAACTTCATATGTTCCAAACGGCATAGTCTGAAACCTTCTTCCAAACCCTCTTACGTTCCAAATGATGTAGTCCGATTCATGAATATGTTGTACCATAGAAGATTTAAGGATTTCTTGAATTTGTGAGTGAAGACCTTGGTCATTTATTGTTAGTGGTACCTAGCATTTTGCTTGCCTTAATGGAGATAGGGTTTGCGATGGTATTTTCTTGGTTCTTGTTTCTTACTTGGTTCATAGCAAACTTCATGTTATTAATGACTTAGTTTACCTAGTGCTATTTTAGAGCATGCTTATATGGTGAACATAAACCATCTTCTTAGGGTAGCATAACAAGAACATAGAACAAGATCTAGATTCTCACGTTAAGAACACATAACCTAAGAATTAAAGTCCTTAGATCAGAACTAAGGATAAGACCTCAGAACCCAACAATCTAAGACTAAGGTTTTTGGACTAGATCATGACAAAAATTTGAGAACACAATCTAAAGTCCAAAGTTCTTAGGATATGAACAAGAACGAGTAGGTTACTTACTAAATCTTTATATTCATTTCGTGTTTTTCCGGTACAATAAGCTAGTCAAGGGTGGAAGCAGATTTAGAGCAAGTATCATACAAAATCACACCTATTTAAGGTTTTAAGTTATTTTGTCTTAATCTTCATTTTGGTTTTGTAAATAAAATATATTTCCGTTTTGTTTTAAACACAAAAAAATAAATAAATAACCGTATTTTACCATATGTTTTTACAAATTCGGGGTGGCTCGATTTGAGAATTCGGATCTTGACCGTTCACTCTAGATTAGATCAAAGTTTTTTTGGTGTATCTTCCTAGTCATTCTCTTCCTGAACTTAGCTCCTTGAATTGCTAAATGTACTTATTTAGCGTATGCTTCCAATAACAAGGATGTGTTATTTTTTAAAGTAAACCTTTTCCTGTCAACTTAGGCGGGTAGCATCTTGTTTAAAAGAAACACTCCAAAATAATTTCACTAATCAAAATAATTTCACATCTAAAATAAACTAAATACAATATACACGATGCTTTATATTATTTCAATATAGAAGAGATGAATACTCTCAAACATAATTATACCTAGGATACAGTATAACTGAGAATATTTGCTAAAACCACCACATTTAAATGATGTGAAAGTTCTCTATTTATAATCAATTGTGAGCCTAGAAGAAGAGGTGTTTATGGATCTAATGTCGGGATTTGAAGTGAATCTTACAGTAAACCGTTGAAAGTAAAATTATTGATGAAACACTTTTAGGCTAGGTTGGATTAATTATATGTTGTATGAATAACACATACATGTGTGTTGTATATCGCAACACGGGATACTTTTCTAGTATGTTTTATACGAACGCATACATCATGATAATATGTGCTCTTTTTCTTTCCATTGGTTTATACTTGCATGTGTGAACCATGTGTCGAAATATGCATCTAAACCTAACTAGAAATGAAGGTGGATTCCAAAGAATAATCACAAAATAGAGATACACTATCAAATTTTAATCCAAAATCACAAAGAGTTTGTTTCATCCAAAGAATTTGAGCACAACAACTAGCAACTGCAATATATTCCGCTTCGGTAGTCGATAAGGCAACCGAATCAAGAAACTAAAGAACTACCAATAAACTACCAATAAATTGACAAGTTCCACTAGTACTTTTTACAAGCTTCCGGCAAAATCAGCATCAAAATATCCTACCAATTTAAATTCAACATTGATAGTATACCACAACCCTAAATTAATAGTTCCAAGCAAATATTTAAATATTCTCTTAACGGCATGTAAATGAGATTCCTTAAGACAAGATTGAAATCTAGCACAAAGACATACACTAAACAAAATATCGGGTCTACTAGCGGTCAAGTAAAGTAAAGATCCAATCATACCTCGATAAGCTTTAATATCCACACTTTTACCTTTTTCATCCTTGTCAAGCTTAGTGGATGTGCTCATGGGAGTTCTTGCAATCTTACCTCCATTGAACTTGAACCTTTTGAGCAAATCTTTAGTGTATTTTCTTGATTAATGAAGATACCATCTTTAAGTTGTTTGATTTGAAGTCTAAGAAAAAAAACTAAGTTCTCCCATCATACTCATCTCAAACTCACTATGCATACATTTAGAAAATTCTTCACATAAAGAAGGATTAGTATAACAAAATATGACATCATCCACATATATTTGCACTAATAGCATATCGTTTTCTTTAATCTTAATAAAGAGTGTAGTGTCGAGTTTACCCATTTTAAAATCATTCCTTATAAGAAAATTAATAAGTCTATCATACTAACCGCGGAGCTTGTTTTAAGCCATAAAAAGCCTTTTTCAACTTATAGCCATGAGGAAATTCTACATTTTCAAATCCGGGAGGTTGTTCTACATACACTTCCTCTATAATATAACCATTCAAAAATACACTTTTCACATCCATTTGATACAATACAAAATTTTTGTAAGAAGCAAAAGCAAGTAACATTCTAATAGCTTCTAATCTAGTCACGGGTGCAAACGTTTCTTCATAATCTATGCTTTGTTCTTGACAATAACCTTGAGGTAAGCCTAGCCTAATTTGGTTCCAATAATAGAAGTATTAGATGTAGTAAGTCTTTCAAATCTAAAAATATGACTTCTAATACTAGAGCTCTTCAACTACTTCATATGTACTTATCTGACCCTTCTAAAATACTTATGGAGAAAATTATTAGGTTGCGATAGTTGATGATTTTTAAAGATTTACTCCGATTTTGATGATTTATAAGAATGATGTTTTGAAATAATTGGCTAGTTTTGTAAAAAGAGTTCAAAATTAAAAAAACGGTTTTTAATTACTAAAATTAAGAGTGAGCATGGACGAGAATTTGATAGTGTTGCGTTTTAAAAATTTGTCAAAATAATAGTTTTTTTTTTTTTTTCATGACTTCTCCTCTCCCAGGACTCTCAACAAAGTATGACATTTATAATGAATATAACCGTTACTCACATCGATTTTTATTATTACTATATTATATTATTATATTTTAAAATTTTGAGAGTTACTCACATCGTTTTTATTATTATTATATTAAAAATTTTAAATAAATGAATTTAGAAAATTTTCTTATTTATTTATTTTTAATCTCCACCTTTCATTATTCCTAACCCAATCAAATGGTCAATATTAATTCCTACATTTTGCCACTTTTTTCTCTATATAAACTTATCTTCCCCACATTTTAAAAACACACACAACTTCCATAAATTCTCCGATCCTCATTTGTTCAAAGTCTCCATTGTTTGTTGCTCTCTCCAAGCTTACAAGTTTATTTCTTTTCATCTTATTCTTAAGAGAGATTATTATTGTATTGTGAGGAAACAGTTGTGAGTGTCCCAAATAGTAAATCTATTCTTTGAGAGAATTGTGGTGTGTTATTATCAAACTCAAATACTTGTATCGGTTTGATCCTACGCCGTGGAAAAGATTGAGTTTGCTTTTGAACTCGTAAAAAGAGCGGTGTAGCGGTTTGGCTCTGATCCGTGGAAAGAGTCGAGAAAGTTCTTTATTCAAATTCCCAAGAGACGCTTGGGGGTGGAGTAGGTCGAGTTTGACCGAACCACTATAAAACTATGGTGTCATTTTTTCTAACTCTTCTTTTCCTATTTAATTTCAAAATTATTATTGTGATTTATTGCATGTTCTACTTGATTATTGTTTTGACTGGAATTATTTTGTTCCAGTAATTAGCATATTTTACTTATTTAAAGTTGAGTAAATTCATGAATAATGGACAAATATCTTCTTTAGGTAGCGTTGGAATCAATTCTCTTACAACTTCGGGAGACTTTTCAATATATATTTAATTAATTTGAATTTCATTCCAATTTCAAATATTATAAATATAGATTACAAGCTCCAATTATAAAAAAAAAAATTAATTAATTAAACTCTTTGATGAATAAATTTGAATTTATTAACGGTAAATCGGTAGACACATGTTGTTAAGTACCATTTATTTCCTAATAAATAATTTGTTTATTATCCAACTATAAATAAGTCTCTGATAGAGCGAGGTTGGGTCATGTTAATTTTTTTTAAACCATAGTCTCCTCGGATTAGTGGTTACAAATCCGGGTAGGCATAATATGTTCTCTGCTTTCAACACCCTCTTTCAGTCGAATGTAACCAAATCAACACCATAAAGTTAGCTTAAGCATGTTTTATGAACCTGTCAAGTGGTGTGGGGTAATTGATTAGCCTATTTACATTTTTTATACGAGCCAAGTTGATAATTTAGCCGGAAAGCAACCACTGGTCCCGTCTGGTACGA